AGGAGAACACTCTCCTCCTCCAAAGAAATGACCCGACCATTCCACGCAGCTACCTGGAAGAGAAGAGAGCGCCTTGCTTCCTTCTCGTCTCTTTTGTATCTGAGCTGATGTAACATGGTATGGAATACCTTATTGGCACAATATGAATCAGGTGATCTATTTAGTTCCTTTTCCCTCCCAGGGAGGGTAAAAAACCCATTACAGAAACCATTAAAACAATTCTGGCTAGTGCAGAAAACAGGATACATAAAATACTACATATTTGAAAAAATGTCATTTAAAGTTTCATCTATATAGCTTTGATACCAAAATGTTGTCTACTATTGCTGCTTCATAACTGAATTTGGACTACTGATTGTAGTCCAAGCATGTGGCTGTGACCCTTTTTTCAGGCTGCAGGCACAGACTCATCTGTCTCAGGACTTTGATTGCCAGAGATTATGAAGTTTTTCACACCTAACATTGATAAAAGGTCCTTTAAACTCTCTGAGTGAAAATTACAATGGAACAATTATTCTAGGTTTTGAGTTGCTTCATTGTCAACTGGACAATGAATCCGAAAAATCGGCCCGAAAAACTGCTCAGAGACTTTTTTATCTTTAAGCAGCAAGGTATTTGTGTATTCAACGTTGGGAGCAAGCCAGCTCGCGCTGGACAAACTTGCTCGACTTGCAAGTGCAAAACTAAGCCATTGTATACATTTTTGATTAATGGTTACATCATTTATTATACATATTAATAAGTAGGTTGGTCTCTGGGCAGAGTCTTTCCAGACATGCGCAGTCTTCTACTGTGGGGGTCTTCTGCTCAAGCCTTCATCCCTCTGGTGGTCGCCATGGACATCTTCCTCAATTTGACCTCTTCAATTAGGTGACCTGAATTCTTCAAGCTTGCAAAATCCTGGCTCTGGGCCTTCTAGATCTTATTCAAACATCTAGTTTACCTAATTTATTGCTCTGTGTGTGTATTACTCCTATTCTTTCTATAATAGGGCCTTTGGTCCAGTGAGCAGAACAGAACATGATATTAACCAGTGCTCCTAAAATGTTCTTCTAGCAAAACAGGTATTGAGGTTTCTTAGCAGGCCAAGATATCTCAGTTAACTCTTTTAGACCTGGCTCCTGTTTCAACATGCTAACATACATTACTGCCGTTATCGTGCAATAATATAAATTCAGTCTGCTCTATCCTGGCACTGCTAAATAAGGCAAGTTAGGCCACTTTATGAAGTGTTTCCTTTAATCTGGGATTAGTGAAATCTGTAATTATAAGAATCTTTTCTGGTTTCATTTGATGGAGAAGCTTTCCCAGTTTTTTTGAGAGAGATTATAGCTCTATTTCTTCCTAGTGGCAGAAGCAGCAAGGAACAATCTTAAACTTCAGTCAACGTGTCAACATTATAAGAAGCTGCAAATTGCACACAATGTAGATGAGCATTGTGATCTGTGGAGTGGTTGCTGCTGGTCTTCAGAGAACTAGTTAGCCACACTGTGCTGGCTGTCCTAATTTCTGGCTTCTGCACCTCACTGAACTATCTAAAAATATATAAAATGCTTTCTTGGTGCTGTTTTCGCATGTAATCCCTTGCTAGAGCTGGTGCAGGGGTGTTATATATTGGTGTTTTGGGTGATAAACTGATCAGTAGAATGAATGATAATCAGTGTTGTACCTACAGGTGAGTGATGGATATGGTCTCCATAAATCCATCTCTCCATTGAGAAGTAGCCTACCTAACAAAAATGTTTGTGAAGCCTTCACTTGGATGATATACTATTCATATATCTGTTTTCACTGGAAGAGCCTTGTCTATTCATAAGTCTTTCAATAAATCTGTTCTGAGACTTAAATTATAAAGAATTAAATCACCCAGGCCTTTGCATGATGTGGAGTTTTTCTAAGCCATACTTCCCATGAGAGAGTTCAGATGTGATTCTCTAAAGACCCAAGCACCAGATTGTGCATGAGAAAGGATGCATTTCAGCGGAAGTGGGCTGCCACACATGATTTAGACACAGGTTCAAACTTCCTTAAAGTGTGGAGAGCTTGGGTTCCTGTTCAGCACATATGTTTTATAAAGACCACGTGCAAAACTTCGATCCTAATCCAATCTCAGGCATGTTCAGATTTAGGGTGTTAGTACTTTTGGGCTTGCAGTATGTTCTATGTAGTATCTTTGTGTTAGAGCAGGCCAGTTGAGATTTAATACTGTATTTCTTTCCATTTGGGCTGTGAAGAGAGCTCTTGCCCTTGTTTGGCTGAAAGGTTGGGTTTTTTTAATTCTTGCTTTTTTTTTCTTTTCTTGGATAGTGAAAAATATTTGCAATATTTTCTGTAATTGCTTTCTCTGTATCTGTAAGATATGTAACGTGCAAATCTAAAGCTAAAGACATTTTTAAAAAGATTCTTAAGAAAATAAAAAATACTGCAGTGACAAATATGTAAATGCTGAAAATAAACAGTATTCTTAAAGCACTCTGACAACTTTTTCTCTTTATTTTCCTTTATTTTTCTTAAATTGGGTTTTTGTTATTTTAATTGGACTAGGCAGTCATATTTTTCTGAGTTTAGGGAGTGTCATTTAATGCCAGCTGTTGCTTAGAAAATAACAATCAGTGGCTCAGAATAAGGTAAAGAATAAATTGGAAATAAAAATGCACCACAAAGATACTGTGACAAACTGTATTCAAAGCTTTGCTAAATTCCAGAAAAATACATCTACTGGTCAACTAGATGGCTAACCTTGTTATATAAGGAAATTAAGTTAGTTAAAGAGGACTTTTGCCTTATGAACCCATTTGCAACCGCAACATTCTCAGTCTTTCTTTATAGGAAAAGTGTTCCAGCCCACTAATTATTTTTGTGACCCTTCTCTGGATCTGGTCAGTGCCTGTTTTGTACTGGGGACCCCAGTACTCGAGGTGGGGTCCCATGAGAGCGGAGTGGAGGGAGAGAATCATCTCCCTTGACTGCGTGGCCACATTTCTCTTTATATGGTCCAGGATAAAATTGACTTTCTTGACTGCAAGCGCACATTGTCAGCTCATATTTAATTTTTCATCAATCCAGTATCCCCAAGTCCTTCTCTGCTCTTGGTCAATTCATCACTCAGTCTGGTTGAAGCAGAATCTTGCATTTGGCCTTGTTGAGCCTCATGAGGTTCACATGGTACCACGGATGCTAAGTATAATAACATTATTTACATCAGAATTATTGCTTGCCTAATAGCAAGATTGTGAAAAACATTATTTATGGTAAAAGTTGGCATTTTGTGGCCCTAGATCAGTATCCTCACCAGCTTCCTGCATATAGTGACTGAAGTTGGTATTTTGTCTCCTGATTGTTTATTTTTTTTTTACTCCCAAAGAAAGAATATTCATAAGATCTGTAACACAATTTGGCAAGGAAAGTTGGCTTGTGTAGCCGTGACATCTTTCCTTGTCTCAAAGTTAACTGTTTGTGTAACTCCTCTGGTATTTCCCATTTCAACAACACGCAGGAGCTTGTAAGAGACAGTCTTCTAAACAGAGAGAGCGAAAGATTTTTACAGTTGCAATGCCAAGATGCATACCAGTGCAAAACATACCAGTGCTTCTCTACAATCCTCCATGGCAGGCAAGGTGCTTGTGAAAAAAGGATATGGAAAAATCTTTACACATCTTTTCAACTGACGGAATGATTTGGACAGTGGAATGATTTGGACGTGAGGTTGGCAGACCCAACCAGATACTTTCAAAAAGTGAACTCCTTAAAGTCAATGCAGTCCTGATGCGTCTTCCTTGTTCATAACAATTTGGTGTTCATGGCCTTCCCTCGCTTCCTTTACGGGAAAAGGGCTATAAAAGGATAAGAGACTCACTTTTCCTCAGAGAAGGACAAACACAGAAATTGCATTGAGGATGACAGGGGGTCATAATGCTGTACATTTTAGAAACAGATAAGACCAACAGACTGAGAAAAGAGAGATGCAATATGATGTTACTCTGTGTGTGTAGCCTGTCCTCATGTCTGCTAGCACCAGGGGAAGGGGAGGGCTGTCACAGCCTGCCTAAGATCTTATAGGAAAAGACAGGTCCACAGCATACTTTTCTCGTAAGTACAGTGCAAAAACTAGAATCTGTCCGAGAAATGTGGATATCAAGGGGTGTGAAAATAAAGGAGTGAAGATTATTCAACATTACATCAGCTTCCAAAACACTGTAGTGAACAGTTGCATCAAAATTCACATAAACAAAAACAAAAACAAAATTGTGGTTTGCCCTGACTTTGTATTGACATAGGTGTAAATGACTACTGGAGGAATTTCACAATTAAGTCTTGTGTCTCCTTCTCCTCTTACATCAAGTTCTGTAGAAGTGCCGTCACACTAACCTGAGAGTAGGTCCAGATTAGATATTATGAAGAAATTTTTTTACTGTAAGGGTGGTGAGGCACTGGAACAGGTTGTCAGGAGAAGCTGTAGATGCCCATCCGTGGAAGTGTTCAAGGCCAGGTTGAATTGGGCTCTGAGCAACCTGGTCTAGAGAGAGGTGATAGTTCTATAATCTCACACCACTGCAGGCATAGTTCCTTCCTCCCAGTGCCCAGTTGTTCCCTGGCAGATAAAGCCTGTCTGCTCAGACTGTGTCAGTGCTAAGGTGTGTGCCCAGGTAGGTGCAGAGCTGTGCCCTTGTGAAATCATTATGAATTGCAGGGAGACACAAGACATTATTAATGTGATTCAGATGTTGCCTTACATGTTTTATTCTGACCTCCAACCTTATTTGTAAGCTGATGATATGTTCTAGAAAGTAATTTTTAAACCAAAGGTAGGAAACTAGGAAGTTGTAGAATTCATGCCTCAATAGGGGCAGAAAGCCCTTTACTTTGGGGAAGAGAGTTGGTGGGGAAGTAGGTGATTAGAGATATGTATGGGAAAGATACTGACATGATAAATATTATGTGTTTGCTTTTTATATTCAGCTATTAATGGGTTTGGGTTTGTTTTTAATCTTTGGACACAGGACCTGTGAAGGACGAAACATCCGGTACAGGACATGCAGCAATGTGGTAAGTGAAGTATAGCTTTGATATGATACAAATCATCACATATTACAATCACATTCATATTACAGCAAATAATTTGGTAAAGTGATAGTGGGAATATTTTAGTTATCTAAATTGCCTTTATACCACAGACCACAGTCAGTTTCTTGAAAAGTAGAGAGATTATGGCCTGATGCTAAAACTATTTGGAAGGGATTGCAGTCACAGCCATCACAAATAAAATGTCAGTGGAACTTCAGAGTTGCTATTTACAACCTCCTGCCAGAACCAAGACGACTTGCGTTCCCAGTATTACTTTGATAACCATCTGGTTCACATTGGGTAGTCTGTTATGCTGCAGGATTAAGCTGTTAAGAATTGAAGACAAGGTAGTGGGACATATGTGATTCTATGATTCTGTATGTTTCTGTTCACCTGTGCCCTCACAGCATTGTAATTCTGTTGCATGTCTTAGAAAAACAGTTTTACGTAGACTGTACCAATGTTTTGGCATTTTCAAAGGCTCTTGCTTGGTTTTTTTTACATGTGGCCAATAAAGTTTTCAAAACAATAAAATAAGAAGCTTCAACTTCTGTCTCAACAAAGTGAAAGTGTGTTTTCACTGGTGAAAATAGAAATAAAGATTTTCATATGGAAAGTTTTATAGGGTACCAAGAATAGTAAAGGGTCTCAAGTTACGTGGAGAAATGACAATTTTACCAGTAAAGATGGAAAATGAAATCAAACATACGTTGCACCAAGCTTTCTCATGCCTGATAGGGACATATTCAGGAGCCTTTCAGGAGGAACTTTGTTTAAAAAAGTTTAAGAGTTTAAGTTAAAAAAACTAATATGTTCACTCATATTTAGCTCATCTTTTTTTCAATAGACCACAGTTCATAATGAAAGAAACTGCTTCTATCGAGTTGCAGTCTCCCATGCAGTAAGATTTCTGTCAGTTCTTTAGGACCTGGACTTTGATCCTTGTGAGTCTCTTCCAACTCAGAATATTTTGTGACTCTCTGAGTCCTCTGAAATTTGTTCTGAGTGTATCCTTTGGGTTCCTGAAATGTCTCATCAGTCTAACCTTCAGCTTCCCTGACAACACCTGCAGCAGTTAATAGATAGGTCTTCTGGCAGATTAGCAGTCCAAATTTCATCTGAGGAACTTAAGATACACCACAACTGTGTAGGGAATGGGAAGGTTGATTTGTGCTAGTCAAGCTGCATGCCGTAGCTCTGTGATATGACATGAAGAAAAAAAAGGTATACTTTTAAAGGCTAATTGGACTACATTTAAACCCATTAGTTTTGTTTTGGTTGTGTGTTCATGCACATTGTGACAGTCTCTTTCTGTGTCTGACCTGCCCTGTGTATGTTCAGAACAGTGAGACAAACTAGCATCCTGCTGTGCTGCCATTAACTGTTCTGAGTCACCTTGATGAGAGGCTGGGATTTTAACTAGGTTGCAGCCTGTGTTTTGGAATCATGGAGTTTAACTTTCTAAGATAAGGAGTATTCTTTTAATGTTATTTTTAGCTTAGGTTCTGCTCTGCAAATGCACACCTGACTAGTTTTCTTTCAAAATAAAACCTTGTATAGTTTTGTCAGGCAATTCCTTTGCATACCTTGTATTTGGCAATACTGGTTCCAGAATTTCCAACATAGTAGTGAGGCATACAGCTGCAGAACTAACTTAATTATTTTATACTAAATAATCAAAAATGAAACTTTCAAACTTTCATCTTTACTCTGCTGAAATCAGTGACAGTTTTGCCACTGAAATATGAAAAGCCAGGACTGCATTTATGATTTCAAACCATTTTTGGGAGAGGTTAAAGAATGACTTGTGCTATATTGCTCTTGTCCTTAATAAAAGAATTAAGGGAGTGTTCATTTGCTTTCTTTTTGTAAACTTGCAAAACTAGCAATAAATGAAACTATTGTCAAGATTCTGACTGCATTGTGCTTTGGCTAGGCCTTCCAAATACAGCTTTATGTCACAAAGAAAGTACTTGGCTGCTGCATTCATTTTGCAGACATTTGATTTTGGGAAGACAGTATTTTCTATTTTTAAAGTATGTTGTCTTTCTTTGATTCAGATGTTAAGCCCTTCCATTTATAGACTTTCCTAATCCTGGGTACTGTCCACCAGTATTCAGAATATCAGGTACTGGAAGGGCATTGAGACCATGATCAGCATCAGAACTTGTGGTACAGCCATGGTAATCCACAGCCACGGTAGTCCACAGCCACATGTGTCTGGGGCTGGGAACTTAGAAGTACCTTGTGCTGCACCAGTATAAATCCAAAGCAGTTTGAGAACCCCAGACTTGCATCTCTCTTCTAAAATCCATTCTGTTACTGAATTGTTTAGCTGTGACACTGAAATACTATTTGTCTCTTTCAGAATAGTAAAAAGAAAAATTAAATTATACGCTTTGTCTTCAATGATGTTTACTGTTTTGCCTCCAAAATCCAAGGATACATACACACAAGGTGCATCTTGGAAACAATTCATTAACACAATGGCTTGTTGTGGAATTCTGCACTAGAAAAGGCCCACAATATTGTGTATATTTTTGTTAACTCAGATTTTGCCTGCTAAGATTTCATCCACAAAGACACTGAAAATCCAGAGGATGGAAATTCCAGGCTCGAGACCTACATTTTCATCTGTGAGATGACAGTCTTTGCTTAAAAGGAAATTGAGAGCAAATCCACCTATTCTGCTCCTGCAAGTGAAGCTAGCTGTCGTGCATCATTGAAAATTCCTGTGAAATTTCTTTGATTCTTGTGAAAATCAGTGAGTCCTGAAATACAAGTTTCCATTACCGTTAGCTTGTACATAATTTGAAGAATGATGTTATTGTTCATAAAATAACAAATCTTTTTTTTTTTAAAGCTATCTTTCTGTGAACTTACAGAAACACTGTCATGCCTAACTTTTATGATTGTGCTCTTGCAGGAAAGGATGGGTAGTCACATATACTAAAGGCAAACTGTTTCAAATGTGAAAATTGGAGAATGAGAAGAATACTGCTTGGAATCTGGCAATGAACACATTTTATAGGCACTATCATTTACAAGATTTTGCTACAGTTGGTTTCAGTTCATCCTGAAATTAAATTACAGAGGGGAAAAAATGAGATAAAGAGAGGCAAGGGGAAAGAGTGACATGCGTGTTTTTCCAGTGACCTATATTAATTATTCTAGGGGTGCTGAACCATTTTGCATAATATAGACTATAAGAGAGATTGATACTGTTGTCTGTAAGGCTTCTGAGCAGTTCTTAAATGAACAAATCCAGGCCAGTATGTTTGCCACTTGCATTGCCTGTTGATGATCAGCAACTGGAAAGATTTTGGGCATGAAGCCAAATGTGTAAATAGTAAAAAAAGGAACAAGAGAATCTGAAGATAATTTAGACTTGAATTCATCTGTTTTTTTCTTCTTACTATTCATACTTACTTGAAGCACGTTCCCAGCCATTTTAGAATATAGTCAGGGGAGAGAGAGAGAGAGAGTCATTTGTTTTTCTTTAGAAAACTGAGTTTTTCTTTAGAATTACTGAATGTAATGAAAACATGTTTTTGCATCTGTTTGGGTTATTATACTAAACATTAAGCAAAATAAACAAAAATATTTCCAAACTCTGAGTAGGAATTTTTTACTCATTCTTTTTATTTTTTCTTTTTTTTCTTCCAATCTAGCACACTCTTTGTTCCTTCTTCTAGGTGCATTCTTAGTTGCCAGGTTCTTTTCAGATAGTGTACCAGGCTGTCGTGTCATCTCATTTGTCATTTCTCATTTTCAGTCCTTCTGTCCCTATGCTATGTTTTTCTTTCTTTTCCCTCCATTTACATGAAAATATCTCTGAAAGGTATTTGTTGGACTATATATTGTCTGCATGCCTTCTCTCTTCATTCTCCTCAATTATGAAACTCCTTATTGTGATTGAAAACATTTTTATTTTCCCTGGTATTTTTCCTTTCACTGCACTGCTTTCTGAATCAGACCTCCCCCCAAAAAAGAGGCATGAGGCTGACAGTGAAGCTGCAGAACATTACTAGAGCTTTCAACAAGGTTTAGAGCAGTTCCATTAAGCCTAGGATAAAATTTGTAGATGGTAGACCCCATAAATCACAGAACTAAAACTTGTAAACACCACCTGCAACTCTTTTTATATATACCTCACTTTCTTCACTTGGCTGAAGTACCACCTGTAATGACATCCCCCATTTTTTGGCTTGCATTAAGACAATCTACTTCCATTGCTGTTTTTTATCAGCTCATGCTGCATTTGCTATACAACAGCACTAATATTGCTCATCTTACTTTCCACAAAATAACACTATCTTCTTTCCACGCACTAAATCCCAGCCTGTTGTAAAGTGTCAAACCTTAACTTCCATATAAGTGCATAAGTCTCAGAAGCATTGGCTTATGTGTATGAGAAGCATCATCACCAAGTAGATTTTTTCAGAGCACAAGAATGATTAGCAGGATTTAATTTTTCTACCCGGTGGTGACTAGAAGTGCCAAATGTGAAGTCTTTTGCAATCAAACCTCCCAGTTCGCATTTTGCGGTAAAACAATAATTAAAAAAAATTATAGGCACTACACATATCTCCTTACTAATACGTGATTTATTTAATGTCAGTTCACTTTTTAAGTGGAATTTCATCAAAACTCGGAGAATTTATTTTGACTACAGTCTGTTCTTCAAACTGCTGGATTTTAATAACTACCATCTTATTTCTGATTGGGTGCATTTTAAAACCTCTGTGTGTCATCTAGAAATTATTTCTTCATACTTCAAAAAAAGTCCTTGTAGTATCTCACAAATGACAGAAGCTTGGACTTCTGGATTTGCTATCTTCTCAGCAAGCAGAATTGTGGATCTCTGCAATTGAAAAATAGAAAAAACTCCAAAACCCAAAACAAAACCAAAACCCAAAAAAAAAAAACAAAACAAAAAAAAAAACAAAAAAAAACAAACAA